CTCTGTTGGCTGTCTTTTAGCTCTGTTAATTGTTTCTTTTGCTGTGCAGAAGCTTTTTAGAATTTTAAAAGAAACAAAAAGAGCCCATGATAAATAGAAAAAATAAAAAATCTGGGCATACCCACATCCCACAAGATAAATGAGAATGAATTAATTTCCTTATTAAAATGTATTGAATGAATGAGTTGACATTTAATTTTTATATCAACGATTAGCTGGCTTTTGCCTTTCCCATTAAAAATTGTTTTGCTTTTATGTATATATTTTTAATTTGCAGGTGCCCTTTAAATACCATAAGCCTAGTGAACATGTTTCTGCTAACTTCAAGCTCTTTAAAAACTTTAGAAATTGGATTGTGATCCTGAACTAAGCATATACACATCACCCCCTTACCACTACTCCTCCTGCCAAATCGATTGCAGTGAAAGACAAAATCTATGGCAGTGAAAGACAATAAATTATTATAAAGAGAACAATCCATTTTAAAGAGGTGGTGGGGGGAGCAGAAAGTGTGTCATAGCAGATCAAACATTGTGAGAAATTACTGGAAAATAGAAAACATGAGATAAAATTATCAAAGAAACAGTGGAGGAAGGGAGAAAAACAAAGCATTAAACAGGTAATTGAAAACTACTACAAACGCAAAAGAAATCCAGCCACAGAGTGAACACATATAAAGACCAAAATAGGGCCTCTGTGTAATTATCAGGACACTTAATTATAAAAAATCAAGGCCGTGAGGTTCTTTACCTTTCCCTTACTTATAGAAAAACTTCCACCAGCAAGCAAAATAATTCATGACATAAGAGAAAAAAAGTGGAAAATTATACTACATGGAGTTAAAAACTTCTTTAAGACAAAAGACAAAAGTAAGTATTAATGTTTTTAAAACACTAGAAACTAGGAGAAAATAACTAGAAACTAGGGAAAAATATTCACAGAGTATATAAAGAATGCTTACATATAAAAAGTACAAAGGCAAAATCATTTTAAGGGGAAAAAATGAGAACAATTTAACAAGACAAAAATTAAAAATCCAATTCACTCAATTACTTAATATACCCCCGTATATGTATGCATGATACACATACACACACACACACATGAGGGTACTTCAAAAAGTTCATGGAAAGATTGGTATATTGATTCCATTTTGGGTATTTCAAAAAGTTTGTGGAAAAATGAAATTCAAAGATAATATAAATCTTTCTTTTAACTTTTTGAAGACTCAATATATAAAATGACAGGTACTAGGGATACACTGGTAAGGAAAATCAAGTCTACAGACTGGGTGAGGAAGACATTAAATCACTACAGAAACAAAATCTGGAATTACAAATGTGACAAGTGCTGCAAAAAAATGTTGCATTTTATTGGTAAAGAAGGTAAAAATAAGAAATAATGAAATCTGGTTTTGCTCACCAGGCAATAATTACATACATGAATAATAGCCTGGTTTGGTCAGCCATGATGTGGGAAAATTTTAACTCGCACATAGTTCTATTGAGAGTTATTTTGGAAAACAATATGTATTTATTA